TTTGATTGATTTGTAAAACAAGCAATCCTTCTGATCTGGAGTGAGGATGATAACAAGCTGGTGCAACTGAGGCAATGAGTTGCTTGTATAGGCATGATTCAGTTAAATGAATATTGAGCGCTTTAAAATTTAGACAAGGAAATATTATCCTCCGGAAAAATTCATCTGCTTTTTTTAGAGAAATGGAAGAGTCATTCTAATTAAAGAATCTAATTAACTTGAAAAGATATTCAAATATGGTTAGAAAAAATCTTACTTGAACCTGGATGTGATTTGAATCACGCACTCTTGGATCTGGAGGCAATGCGCTGTGAAACAATTCGGTACCAATTAGAAGCTGTGAGCATGTGTACTATTAGGATAAATTAATATGAATCTTTAAATTTACACATAAATGAATATATTACGGCTTTGAGGAAAATCTGCCATTATATGGAAAATATGAGAATCATAGAGGCAATAACAGAACAATACAAATATTGTAAAAGTTATACTAACTCGTAATAGTTCAAAATCTTTGAACTGACGCGAGATTTCAAATGCAACCTTCTGACTCTGGAGACGCTTTTGCTACCTGTTGCTGCCACTGAGTCCGTACTGCATTTTCTGTATACGCACTATTAGGATAACTAATGAGTCTTTTATAATCATAGTCACATATACATGGCTATATATGATAGAAATCACATGAATATATAGGAAAAATAGCCTTGGAATACAGAGTAGTAGCTCTACCAATAGAAACTAATTCTAACTCATTTTTAAAATTTATCTCTAAATTGAAAATTCATTTGACCTGTACAAGATTTGAATATGCAACCTTCTGATCTGAGTCAGACGCGCTACCGTTGCGCTACCGAGTCCACATCAGTCGGCATAAAACCGACAGATTAGATAAATGAATATGATGCTTTAAAATTATAGTAAAGGCATATATATCACTCAAGAAAAATCTTTCTGCTATTTAAGATGGAAATATTTATAAGCATTCTACAAAAAGAAACTGATTTCAAGCCATGAAACAGTTATCTCTACTCACAGTTCAAAATTCTCTGACCTGGACGGATTTGAACACGCAACCTTCTGATCTGAGTCAGACGCGCTACCTTGCGCCACTGAGTCCATATCAGCCGGCTGTATACGCGTACTATTAGGATAATTGAATATGAGTGCTTTTATACTCATACCTAAATGAATATATTATCATCTGGGAAAAATTCGCTATAGGAAAAATAAGGAATAGAGTAAATAGGCTACGAATAGAAACTAAATTAACTATGTGAAAAAGGAACTCTCAATTAGTTCAAAAAATTCATTTGACCTGTACGTGATTTGAACACGCAACCTTCTGATCTGAGTCCGACGCGCTACCGTTGCGCCACTGAGTCCATATCTGCCAGCCGTATACGCGTACTATTAGGATAATTGAATATGAGTGCTTTATACATACCTAAATCGAAATATATTATCGTTCAGAAATTCGTTATAGGAAAAATATGGTATACATGAGTACAGGCTACGAATAGAAACTAAATTAATCATTGTGAAAAAGATATCTCAACTCACAGTTCAAAATCTATTTGACCAGGACGCTGATTGAAAATGCACTGATCTGGAGCACGACGCGCTACTGTTGGTGCTACCGAGTCCACATGTCGGCTGTAAACGCGTACAGATGAGGATAAATGAAATATGAGTGCTTTTAAAATTACAGTAAAAGGAATATATTATAGCTCTGAAAGAAAATCCATTCGCTATTTAAGTGGTAATAAATACGAGCAACACTCTACAAAAAAAAGAACTATCTACCATTATGAAACAAAGTATTCCTACTCTAACAGTTCAAAATTCAATTGACCCGGACGATTTGAAGCGGAACTTCTCATTGATCAACCTACTTGAGACCTATCGCAAACCGTCTATTATTTGTAGAGTGTTAATTAACAATGAATTCTACTGAATTCGCTATAGAAAAGTCAGCCGATAGAACATAACTAAAAGATATTAACCTAATAGTTCAATATTCATTGAAGATTTGAAAGAACTTCTGATGGAGACGTCGACAAGATTTGGCACCAGTCATACGACTAGGATAAGGACATTAGGATAATTGAATATGAGTGCTTTATACTCAACTAAATGAATATATATGTCTGAGGAAAATTCCGCTATAGGAAAAAATATCGGAATAATATAACAGGCTACGAAAGAAACTAAATTAATCAGTGAAAAAAGTTATTCTTACTCTGGACAGTTCAAAATTAATTTGACCTGACGGGATTTGAAATACGTCAACCTTCTGATCTGGAGTCAGACGCGCTACCGTTGCGCCACCGAGTCCATATCAGCCGGCTGTATACGCGTACTATTAGGATAATTGAATATGAGTACTTTTATAATTACACTAAATGAATATATTATCGTCTGAGGAAAATTCGCTATATAGGAAAAATATGGAATACGAGTAACAGGCTACGAATAGAAACTAAATTAATCATGTGAAAAAGTTATCTCTACTCTAACAGTTCAAAATTCAATTGACCCGGACGTGATTTGAACACGCAACCTTCTGATCTGGAGTCAGACGCTCTACCGTTGCGCCACCGAGTCCACATTCATCGGCTGAATAAATAAATCGTATGATTTTAATCACTGAATACGAGTGCTTTTAAAAATTAGACAAAGGAATATATTATCAGTCTGAGGAAAATTCCTTCGCTATTTAGGATGAATCTTTAATACCAGTAACAGTCTACCAATAGAAACTAATTTCAATCATTGTGAAAAATTTATCTCAACTCTAAGAGTTCAAAATTGTTTTGACCCGGACGTGATTTGAACACTCAACCTTCTGATCTGGAGTCAGACACGCTACCGTTGCGCCACCGAGCCCATACCAGCCGGCTGTATACGCGTACTATTAGGATAATTGAATATGAGTGCTTTTATAATTACACTAAATGAATATATTATCGTCTGAGGAAAATTCGCTATATAGGAAAAATATGGAATACGAGTAACAGGCTACGAATAGAAACTAAATTAATCATTGTGAAAAAGTTATCTCAACTCTAATAGTTCAAAATTCATTTGACCCGGACGTGATTTGAACGCGCAACCTTCTGATCTGGAGTCAGACGCGCTACCGTTGCGCCACCGAGTCCGTATCAGTCGGCTGTATACGCGTACTATTAGGATAACTGAATATGAGTGCTTTTATAATTACACTAAATGAATATATTACGGCTTTGAGGAAAACTCGCTATATAGGAAAAATACGGAATACGAGTAGCAGTCTACCAATAGAAACTAATTTCAATTATTTTTAAAAATGTATCTCAACACTTATAGTGCGAAATTCATTTGACCCGTACTTGAGTTGAACACGCAACCTTCTGAACTGGAGTCAGACGCGCTACTGTTGCGCCACCGAGTCCACATCAGTCGGCTGTATACGCGTACGATTAGGATAACTGAATATGAGTGCTTTTAAAATTACAGTAAAGGAATATATATTATAGCTCTGAAGAAAATTCATTTGGTATTTAAGTGAATATGGAATACGAGCAACAGTCTACAAAAATAAACTGATTTCAATCATTATGAAACAGTTATCTCAACTCTAATAGTTCAAAATTCATTTGTCGCGGACATGATTTGAACACGCAACCTTCTGATCTGGAGTGAGACGCGATAGCGTTGCGCACCCGAGTCCACATCAGTTGGCTGTATACGCGTTTGATTCGGTTAAGTGAATACGAGCGCATTTAAAATTTAGACAAAGGAATATATTATCGCTCTGAGGAAAATTCATTCGATTTTTAGGATGAATATGGAATAAGAGCAACATTCTATCAATAGAATCTAATTTCAATCATTGTGAAAAAGATATCTCAACACTAATAGTGCAAAATTCATTTGACCCGGACGTGATTTGAACACGCAACCTTCTGATCTGAGTCAGACGCGCTGCCGTTGCGCCACCGAGTCCACATTCATCGGCTGTATAAACCGTATGATTGGAATCACTGAATTCGAGTGCTTTTAAAAATTAGACAAAGGAATATATTATCGTCTGAGGAAAATTCGCTATATAGGAAAAATATGGAATACGAGTAACAGGCTACGAATAGAAACAAAATTAATCATTGGGAAAAAGTTATCTCAACTCTAATAGTTCAAAATTCTTTTGACCCGGACGTGATTTGAACACGCAACCTTCTGATCTAGGTCAGACGCGTTGCGCCACCAGGTCTATCTGCCAGCTGCCTCACACTTTTTTTATTAGGATAATTGAATATGAGTGCTTTTATAATTACACTAAATGAATATATTATCGTCTGAAATTCGCTATATGAGCCTATGGAATACGAGTAACTGGCTACGAATAGAAATTAATCATGTGAAAAGTTATCTCTACTCTAATGGTGCAAAATTCATTTTGACCCGGACGTGATTTAATAGACACGCAACCTTCTGATCCTGAGTCTGGACCGCTTCGTTGCGCCACCAGGTCCGTACCAATTCATACACTTGTGCCTAATGGGATAGATTCAGATGTGAGTGCTTGCACTCAGTACACTAAATGGATATATTACGGCTTTGGGGAGAAAACTCTGCTATAGAATATGGAATACAGTAGAGGCAACAGACTGAGAGCTAAATTAATCATTGTGAAAAGATATCTCAATAATGGTTCAAAATTCATTGTTATTGATTTGAACACTGGCTACCTTCTGATCTGGCGGTCAGACCCGCTCCGCAGGTCCACTCTGCCGGCTGTACATGATCCCACTATGAATCTTCCATCTGGTCCTTCTCTGGAATGAGTAATCATTGTGAGATCCATCACTCTCAAGTTCAGGGTCATTTGGTTTCTGATCTGGTCGTCATTCGGACAGCTGTATATTGAATGAGTGCTTTTTATAATTACACTAGGATGATATTAAATGATTATATTATCGTCGAGGAAAATTCGCTATATAAGAGAAAATATGGAATACAGTGCTTTCAATTAGGAAAATAGGTAATCTGCTGGAAAAGTTATCTCTAGTCAACAGTTCAAGAATTCTGGACAGTTTGAACAGATCTGGAGTCAGACTGAGTCCGTACCAGACAGATCACTAATACATGATACTAATGGGATGTGAATTAAATGCTGGGTCTGATAGATATATTACGGCTTTGAAACTCACTATATGAAAAGAAATATGGAATACAGGTAACAGGCTACTAGATTAATCATTGTGAAAGATATCTCAACTCCTAATAGTTCAAATTGCGTTTGAACCTTCTGATCTAGGTCAGACGCTACCGTTGCATACCACCAGGTCAAATACCAGACAGCCTCTGGCATGTGAGATGAATTATAGATATGATGCTTTTTTTTCTGTGCACTAAATGAATATATTATCGTCCCCGAGGGAAAATTTCTCATAGGAAAAATACAGATACAGTATAGTCTACTAATGAAACTAATTTCAATCAGTAAAATTTATCTCAACACTTATAATTTAAAATTCATTTTGACCCATGCATTTTGTATGATCTGAGTCAGACGCGCTTTGTTACTTTCTGATCCCACATCAGTCGACACCTAGCTGAATATGAGTGCTTTAAATTACAGTAAAGGAATATATTATAGCTCTGAAGAAAATTCATTCGCTATTTAAGTGAATATGGAATACAGAGCAACAGTCACAAAGAAACTAGTTTACAATCAGTATGAATCTCAGTTATCTCTACTCTAACAGTTCAAATTCAATTGACCCGGACGTGATTGATTTTTTCAGCACTTCTAAGTCTGTACCGTTGCGCCACCAGGTCACGTACCAGACAGCTGTACATATGGAATATATTACTGCTGAGGAAAACTCGCTATATAGGAAAAATAACTGGAATACGAGTAAGAGATAGCAGATAGAAACTAAATTAATCATTGTGAAAAGATGTAACTCTAATGGTTCAAATTCGGTGATACGTGATTTGAACACACCTTCGATCTGGAGTCAGACCTTCAGGTCCTTTTGCGGACGCTTCACTTGTTCAGCGATGGGATAATTGAATATGGGTGCTTTTGCAGAAATTACACTAAATGGATATATTATCGTCTGAGGGAAATTCGCTATACCGGAAAATACTGGAATACAGTAACAATTGATGAAACTAGAATTAATCGTAAAGTTGCTTTCCTGATGGCTGGGGCTATTAGTACGATTTGAACACGCAACCTTCTGATCTAGGTCAGACGCGCTACCGTTGCGCCATGAGTCAATGCACCAGACCAGCAAACAGATATTGAATAGGTGCTTTATAATTACTAGAAGACAGTTTCTCTTGCAGAAACTTTTGAGGAAAACTTCCTTTATATATACAACTCTGCTGGACAATTGCAGGAGGCATGAACAGAAACAAATTAGTCATTGTGAAAGTTAAATCAATCTAATAGTTCAAAATTCTTTTACTTTTGACCCGGACGTGATTTAGACACAACCTTCTAGTCTGGAGACGCGCCGCCACCAGGTCCACATCCAGTCTAGGCATAAACAACATGCAATTAAGGATAACTGAATATGAGTGCTTTTAAAATTACAGTAAAGGAATATATTATAAGCTCTGAAGAATTCATTTTACGCTATTTTAACATGAGATACATGATCCTAAAGGGAAAGCTAACCATGACAAGTTATTACTCTCTAATCTAACCAAAATTCAATTGACCCAGTGATTTGAACGCAGCTATTCTGAAAGTCAGTGCGCTACCATTTGCGCACAAGGTCCATATCTAGTCGGTTTGTATACACGCGTACTAATAGGATCAGTGATGCATTTATAATTACACTAAATGGAATATATCGTCTGTGGAAAATTTAACTATATAGGAAAATATACCAGGATGCAGCAGGCTGCGGAAAATTCTAATTAATCATTGTGAAAAAGATATCTCTAATAACAGTTCAAAATTAGGCAGTTTGAACACGCAGCCTTCTGATCTAGGTCAGACGCGCTACCGTTGCACCACCGAGTCCATATCTGCCACGGCTGTATACGCGTACTGTAGGATAATTGAATATGAGTGCATTTACACTAAGGCAGACTCTCATTACTATAGTCTGTGGAAAATTCGCTATATAGGAAAAATATGGAATACAGTAACTGGCTGCAGGTAAAACTAAATTAATCACTTGAAAAAGTTATCTCTACTCATGGTGCAAAAATTTCATTTGACCCGGACGTGATTTTGAGACACGCAGCCTTCTGATCTGATTAGACGCGCTACCGTTGCGCCACCGAGTCCCGTACCAGACAGCTGTATGCAGCTTAGGATGATTGGTGTGAGT